CTTACTGTATTGTAATTGAAATATTGCCCTAATCTAAAACCATCAAAAAGCGATAAAATAAAGGGAGGGAAAGACGTGGGGTTGGAAAAGACATACAAACCACACCACGCCGACACTTTTACAGTTGTTGCCCCGCGCAAAAGGATTGGTCCGAATAAATTAATTTATACCAGTCCTTAAAATTGAATAAATTCACAGTCCAAATATTTACAGTCCTAATAATATTAAACAAATTTTCCTACTTAATCAAAATTACTTAATGGAAAAAAAAAACTAGCAGGCAAGCCAGGGGATGGCCTTGCTTCTGATGCGATGATGTATGTTTGGGCTGCCTTGCGCGGGAAATCCACCGGGATGCCCCAATTAGCCTCTGTTTAGCAGTTATTCTTGGAAAGCGATCTCTCTCTGATCGGCGCCCGTGCTGGGCATAGTACAATAGAGAAATTCAATCTCTCATACGGGGCAAACCCAACAAGATTCCTTCGGAAAAGACGTCCGAGTACTCACAAAACCACCCTTGGTAACACAATCTGAGTCTCGTATCCTCACTAATCGAAAGGTAGCAAGTGAGGACCACTAAGCGGCACTCCGTCCTCGCGAACATACCCCATTGTTGCAACACATCACCAACCCGCTCCCCAGAAAATGAATTACTCTCCGCTCACGGACAACACGTGACCCTCTGGCGTAAGCATCAATAACTGCCCGGTATGACGATAACCAGTCCATACCCAAAATAACATCGAAACCCCTTCATAGCATAACTACAAAGAAAAGGGATTCATCGAAATTCAACCTCTATTCACAACCCCTTCACCTGTTTCAAGAATTCAATTTCACCCCCAAGAGGTGACACTACACAAAATAGGAGACTGCGTAACTCGTCAACTCCAACTCCAAAACAGATGCAAATGCAGCAGTAACAAAGGAATGAGATGTCACCCGTATCAAATTCAAACATTAGCAACGCGAGTTGCAAACAAGAAGTACCTCTTCACAACATGATGGTGCCAGGCACCAAGTATCCTGCGCAAGATAAACAGCATACACGCGCCCAAACGACCTACTGAACAACACTGTTCACCCCTAGAAGCATAAGATTGCTGACCGATTGGACGATTGGAAGGCCCCCTGATTTGGCCCTCGGCCTTGACCCGACTGACTGGCTAGGCTGACCCTGAATCGGCCTCAAACTAGATGACCAGGTGTGCCACACCAATTGCGGCAATAACCTCTTTCATATGCCCTGGCTTAACCACACTGATAACACGAGAGTTGGTGTGGCCTCTACACACTAACTCTGGCTCTGAGATCGAGCCGAAAGATGATTGCTGCTCTCTGCACTCCTCCCTCTGAGAGACAAACTGAGACTTTGGCCCAGCGGCCACACTTGAAACAGAAGTCTCCCTGACTACCTTTCTCCCGAACTAGCACTCGGACAGGAAAAGTCGATCATAGAAAAGCTCCCTGAGACCTCTAGGATTAAACCCTTCTGTCTCCTACCATCACTCGACCATCCTGAACTCCTCTTGGAGCCTTTTGCCCTTCTCCTTCTCCTGCATCATGATTTCCATATGGGCTGCAGCAATCAACCATACGCCCATAATTCCCGAATCATAGTTCCTCCAACTCTCAGCTTTGAGGCCACGCCCTCAACTTCTTCTCTGAACTCGATACAACGCGTTCCTCAACGCCACCAACTCAGGTGCAAACCTGGACAAGCTAGTAAATGAAGCCTCAACTCGCCACTGAAAGACTCGACTGGCCTAACGCTAACAAAACTGGTCTCTGAGCTCTCCCTGACTGCTGGGAGAAAGAACTTCTCCTGGAAGCATTCACAAAACCTCCCATGTTACCTCATAACGACCCTTAGTAAAACTTAGGACCACTGACCCGCATCCCCCTTCAACTGGAAAGATCCAAGGTACACTTTCAACCCCTCGTCTCGATCCAAAGCATCTCAACGTCTTCGTTGTCTGTCTCGAGCCATCATCTGCCTATAGCGGCTCCTTAGGATCTCCCACAAATTCACCGGATTAGACCGGAAGAACTCCCTCTCAGAAAAGGAAGGTCCTGCCATCTGCAGCAACATCCGAGCTTGATGCTCAGCGCTCTGAAATGCCTACTAAACTCCTGAATGCCCCTGCTATTTCTCTGGCTAGAGCGCCCATAGCCTGCTGGCCTACTGGCTCGCGCACATTGGCCCTGGCCAATTCCCTCCTGAACTGCCGGAATCCTCCTCTGGCACAGGCAACCTCCTGCCTAACTCGGCCCTACCACGCCTACTGCGGTACCTCGTCCTCGTCCTACATCCTAATGAAGGAAACCAAAGGACGTTTAAGCACATTAATAAATTGTGCCGAAGCAAACACTCACGTTCCATGCATTGGACAAAACAAAATTCATTCCACGTAAGCCACATAATCACATAAGCACCTACGAATTTCATTCCCGGCATAATGATCATCACCAATACAGTTACTATCTAGTTCGGTTGGAAGCAACATGTGATCAAGTTGCCTTTCCAACAAGACTACTAGGAAACTCAGAGGGTCCAATCATATGTCTAGGAAACTAACATTCCATACCACATAATCACATAAACATGTTATCACATAAGCATTATAACATTACACTAAGTCTCTATGAACGAGCAACCCCATGTGATACTAATCAACTTTCCACGTTACCCAAAGTATTCAAACCCGGTACGCTCTGATACCAAGTTATAATCTCTCCTCAAAATAAACCCATTATATATATATATCATTACGATGCCAATATTAAAAGAAAACATTCATTATCCATTCATCAGAGTATTACTAAATGAAAACATTACATTAATATCAAATTAATATGCCCTATGGGCTTACATTTCCAAGGCCAAACACTTGACACAAAAATTATGATGTTCTAACTCAAATACAAATAAAGCCCTAGGCTTGAATGTTTACTTTTACTAAGACAAATTCAAAGCAAACAACTGAAATAGTCTTCAAAATCCAAAGTCCTTCCAAGCTAAGTCCTTGGAGGTAGCTATCACCTGAACCTGAAAATGGATGTTCCCATAAGGTGCCATCAGCCAAGTAGAAATCATACTTAAACCAAATATTAGCATTGAATAAAGCAATTAGCATTCAAAAAGGTTAACCAAGATAATCCAATTACATTATTTACAGTTCATGACATTATATTCTAAGCACGTTTACTTTCCAACATTATCAATTGCTCAGAACCTAGCCAAACTACACATGAATTATTACTATATCATATTCACATTCTTCCAATGTCAACAACAAGATGAGACTCACTCAAAATCAAAACACTCATTACTTCAATTTTGATACACATTTATGCGTATCAATAAAAAACATTCAATATAAATAAGGACACAATAAAAGTGATTGCTAATGGAGTCCATCCCCTATCTCCTCCCAAACAAAAAATCCGGTTAGAAGGTCCATCCCTATTTCCCCTAAACCGTGGAGACATTCCCTACTCCTCCCACACAAAACAAATGTATGTAAAAACACATAACATATACACCACACAATCAATACACAAATGTTCTGATTAATTCACAGTCAAAGAATTTAATTTTGACTCAACCATGGTGATTAGTTTCAGTTATACCTAATCACATGCATTGATCACAACAATCAGACTATCCCCCATCGATAGCCCAAAATATTATTTCTAGACTTGGAAATAAATTATATCAACAATTCAGATAGGCGATGTGATTTTAAATTAACCAACTAACCATTTAATCAATAAATTCCCCAATTTCATGAACTTTAACCAAATTCCCCAATTCCCTTAAATTATATTATACAATTAATTAATTAATACAACTTAGGTTTTTCCCAAAATTATCCAAAGTAACCCCAAACATATCAATATACCAAAACTTAGAAACAAAACTTTAAAAAATGGAGTAGGAAATCCCTACCTCGAAAGAAAAAACCCAAATAGAGCAGACAGCAGAGATGAATACCCAAAATCCAAAGTGCTTCCAAATCGCGAAAATTCAGATTAAAACGAAGCCCTCGACTCACCTATCTTTTTAAACAAAGGACTGTAATAGTAATACCACTCTAAGTAGATCAAACCAAGAGAGGAAGTGAGAGGACCTAGGGTTTGAAATAAAAAGAAGATGAAAAAAGAGCTGATTCAAAACCCGCTGCTGCTTATAAAAACTTGGACGGCTCCTCGAGCGAAGACATGGTTAGCTCGAGCGACCAGACACAAAAACCTCGCTCGAGCGAAGAAAATATCTCGCTCGAGCGAATAAGCACAGCCCTCAGATGTCTATAACCAGACGCAGATCGCGTCGCTCGATGCGAAACAAATCTGGATCGAACCAGAAGACACAAAAACAAACCATCGCATCGGAGCGACCAATCCTGGCTCGAGCGACCAACCCAAAAAAACTGGCAACAACAACACTTGGTTTACGAACCCAACCAACCTGAAACAAACCTGACCAGCACATCCTATAACTCCAAATGAGAAAATAAAGGACGACAACAACAATTATACAATGACAGAATAAACGGAACCCAAGTCTGGATACAATAATCAAATGGGAAAAGACCGGGGTCGCTATACTGCCCCTACGTAACATCATATACGTTGCAGGATACACTTTGTGCTTGTTCTTGGATTTTTCATAGTTTATTCATCCCATTCTTTATCCCTGCTATCTAGAAAACCACTGTGGTCCTTTTGCTGACCTGAAACTGTTTTTAGTGTTATGTAATTTAAGGAGAGGATTCATTGCAATGGTAACTTAGGAAGAAAACACTTTGAATGCTCATGATTGCTTCCAAAGACACCCACACGTGGATGCACACATGCACACATTCTACCTGGCTGATCTCTTCTTATTTTCTTGTATTGGTTAGATGCAATTAGTCTATATTGTTGACGAACCTGATTGAATAAATACATTCCCTCCTTTCAATCCTTGTAGTATGATGTTGTTGGATGGGCACCAAAGGAGTATAATCCAGACAATAAGCAGCCCTCTGGTGGGCAGGAGCCAAGTGGTGGAGAGGTTGCAAGTCCAAAGGATGCTTATTCATTACAATCTGGCTTTGTTTGGGATGAAACATCTGGCTATTATTATGATGCTTCTTCTGGATTCTATTATGATGGAAATACAGGTATTTATTTATTTGGAAGCTACATTTTAGTTGTTGTTTTCCTCATTGTTACTGTAAAAGCTGTCTTGATTTTATGTTTATGCATAATATAGGCAAATGTTGCAAGTGTTGTATCATGTGAGCCATAGCCCCCGTGATATCAATGTTGTGTTCTATAAGTGAAAGTTCTGATATGTGTTTCTCATGCAATTGGACTGGTGCACTAGTGTGGCATCCTAAATCTTTAACAATCTTATTCAGTGTGCATCAAATAATTAGTTTCATTAATCATTAGTCTTGTGGTGGCATTCAATTTTTAAAGGGCCTCTGGTTTGAATTTTTGCTGTCAACTGACCATTACATTGTGACAGCATTTCTATTTTGGAGTTTATGGTTGGCTTGGATTGCTCTGCATTTGTTGATGGTTTTCAGTATGGATTATTTTAAGAAAATATAATTTTAGTAATTGTTAAAAGGTTTTTTATATTTGAAATTTTGAGCAGAGCCCCGATATTTCTACACTATTCAAAGAGATGAGAGGAGAGACATCACTCAATAGAATTGTACAACTTTGAGAGCAGTATTTGTTAGGTGCTGCTAACAAACCTATCCAATATACTGATGGGGGATCTTTCTTCCAAATTTTGAGGTTTACAGAGGGTTAATTTGTGGAGATATACAAAAGTTTTCATGAGGAATATTTCTTGAAAATAATTAATATTTTTGTTTTATAAAAAAATATTTACTCCTACCAATTTCTTCTTGTGTATTTATTGTCGGTTCATTCACAGATGTCATTTCTCATGAACATATGGAGTCATGGCCACAAGAAGCCTTAAACCCCCCAACTCCATGATATTGTCATAAACAGAGTGAAATGATGATATTTTATAATGACATTCGCAACTTCTCAGATAGAAAATGTCATTATTGTTTTTGTTTCAACATCTTCTTGTTGTTTTATAATTGTGAGAAAACTTGTGAAATATTCGTATATCTTCATATTCTGTTTTATACTCTGAAAATTCAAAACAAAACTAATCAATGAAGGCATGGTTTGTTAGTTAAAATTGGGTTAGTGGTAAACAAATATGTAACATAAAGTATTAATATATATTTTTTTTTAATGCCATGATCAGGTGAAGCATATCTATGATAATATGTATTCTATTTTTATGCAAGCATGCTTTATTTTGCTGCCTAATGAACTGGACGGGTACTAGTGCTAGTGGATAGACCAAAATAGAATTTGTCTAGTTTCTGATGAAGATCAATGTTTTATTTATTTATTATTCTTGTGTTTTGCAGGATTATATTATTATATTATTAATTTTTTTTTTTTTTATAAATGTGCAGGATTATATTATGATGGTAACAATGGGGTTTGGTATTCTTATGATCACCAAACTCAACAGTATGTCCCCTACTCTGATCAGAGTGACAATAAAACAGCTGGAAAACAAAATGTGAGATAAATTCTATACTTTTATTACTATATATTATGAATACTTGTACATCTTCTTCATATTATCTAATTGTTTGTAAATAACCTCTTGCAATTCAATGGAAAAAAGACTTACACGGAAATCGAACTTGATGAAGTGCGAGTTGAATGGATTAATTTCGTACTAAAGAATATGAGTTGAAATCCAATGTAAGTATGATATAACTTCCGTTATTTAAATTGCTAATCAATAATTTCTTTAGTTGGTAAGGAATATATAATCACTTCAAGATTTCATTTTAGATTTGTTGATTCTATGTATATTTGGTTTTATGACTTTAAAATATCTACTCAATACATTGAAGATTTTCATTTTGGATTTATTGATTCTATGTATATGTCATATTTATATATGGTAATCCAAACATTTTATACTAATAATAATCAAAGTTGTTATTCATTTTCTATTGATGCAGTAGATGACGAGTCAGTGTGATGAGAAAATGTTCGATTTTGTCTTTTGTAAGACAAGAACAATCTCTACAAAAAATATTAAGTTTATTCATATGCTTCTAGTGGTTTCTGAATTAATTTGTGTTTTTTATTTTTCAAGTCAGAAATTTCTTGGAGAAATGCAAAATATGGTCAAAGAATTCAACAATTTCATTTTTCAAGTATTTTTATTTTTTAATATATGTAAGCACAGTTAAAAACTTTTTATTAATTCCTTTGTATATACTTTAAAACATTTAACTTTCATTTATGAAATATATGACGTTTTCCATTCAATATATGGTTGTGATTCAAAATATAGTATATAGTGGCGCATTACATTCTTCAAATACATATAACGTGTGATCTTATCTGATTATTAATCACATGTTTTATTAGATATTATCACACTTAAAATTTGTAAAAGATGTGATCTAAATATTTTTAATCACACTTAAAATGTGTGATCTAAATGTTATTAATCTCACTTAAAATGTGTGATCTAAATATTTAATCACACTTAAAGATGCGATTAAATATTTTTAATCACACTTAAAGGTGTGATCTAAATGTTATTATCACACTTAAAATGTGTGATCTAAATATTTTTAATCACACTTAAAAGCTATGATCTAAATATTTTAATCCACACTTAAAATATGTGATCTAAAATTTTATCATACTTAAAAAGGTGTGATCTAAATGTTATTAAATCACTCTAAAATATGTGATTAAAAATGACCATTTAATTCACACTCCCAAAGATCACACTTTAACAAAACTAAAAGGTGTGATTAAATAACATACATCAACAAAAAAAGTGTGATTTTTATATGTTTTGTAGTAGTGTCATTTTTACTTTTGTGTATATTTTGTGATGAGGCCTCTCAGAAACATTGAGGTAGAAGATCAACAGAGAGCTATTAATTTGGATGAATTGTAGCAACTTCATATTCTTTTTGCTTGTAACTTAGATAAAATTTTGATTAGAATAGGAGAGATTTCAAAAAAACTAGAAAGAAACAATCAATTTGCTGTGAAATTCCATGTGTTCTTTTTTCCTTATCCTCTAAGCATGTAAGTGAAACATAATAAAAACCAAATAAGTGGAAAAATGAGAAAGGGAAACTATTAAACATGGATTGGAAGGCTCACATAATAGGAGATTAATTATGATTCCTTAAAATGCATCTTTCACATCATAGAATAAAGAACTAGATTTCAGTTTCTATGATTGTATTTTCTGTTTATTCTTGAGTTTGGTTTGAAGTTTCATGATAATGGTAAGCAACTAGCTGAGTAAACTAATACAGGGTATTAAGACAGAACTTTAGATTTGATATAGTTGTGGAAGAAAAAAAGGGATATGAGTTTTAGGTAATCAGTAAATTGTTCCATATCTTGTGAAATGTAAATGGATTTTTCACAATCTATCTCGCCCATGCTTACTCATGCCCCCTAATTGTGAACGGTGTAAATTACTCGTTTTCTTTTTTCACCCAGAAAAATCATCTTATGATTGTAACGCCCTCAAATAATAACATTAAAACCATCAAATAAGACATTCGTTAACATATGAAATAACCATATTCTTCTATTCATTAGAGTTCATACAAAATATTACAATGCTTAACAACCAAAAGCAGAAATGCCAACGGGCTTACAGCTTTCCAAGTTAACACTTGGTTACAAAAAAAGAGTACTAACTCATTTACACATTAAGCCCTTGGCTTGAATTTACATGTAATACATCAAAAATAAAGCGACAAAAGTATGTCCGCCTCTAGCCTCCCAAGCTATGTCCTTGGAGGTGGCAAAATGCTACCTGTAACATGAAAATGAATATTCCCAATAATAGGTGAGCCACAGCACCAGTAGAAATACACTAAAAACCAACCATGCAACAATACTAATAAGATTAGCAATTGATAGATGGCCAACACTGATACATTCACATAAATCATATATTTATGCTCATCCGACTTTACGAGTCCAAGTTACTTTCCCCTTTTCCCTTTTTCAAACAGATAAGCATGTTAGCTCTATCATCATTTCACAACAATATAGTATAAAAACTATATCCCACATTCACAGATAAAGCATATAAGCTGTATCCACCTTCACAACAGATATGTATAACAACAATATCCCACATTCAACAAATAAGCATATAAGCTGTATCCACACTTCGCAAAGATAAGCATATGAGCTCTACCTTCACTTCTCTAGACAAGCATATGAGCTGTATCTACACGGAGTTCATCCCCTATCTTCTCCAAACACTAATCCGGTTTAGAGGTACATCCCATCTTCCCTAAATCCGCGGATTACATTCCCCATCTCCTCCTCTACGCTTAACGTATACAAACAATTGTTCTAATATACAATCCTTCAAACATACACGTTAATGTATCTATCAACCGTCAAATTCCATGACAACGTTCCTATTGATTAGTTTTTTCGTTTGCCTAATCATCATGCATTGTCTACACAATCACGACTATCTTCCACCGATAGCCCAAAGCAGATATTTCTAAACAGAAATATAAATGCACAAATGGATAATTATCACATTTCATTTCCTCATTTCTACAAATTAATTATTCAATTAATCAAACCATGCAATTAGGTCAATTACATAATTAACACTTCAACCCTTAAGGTTCCACTTTCAACAATGATTCAACATTTATATCATTTCTCCATGCCAAACATGCATCTAGGTTTTATTGTAGATAAAACCCAACTTTTGTAAAATTTACACAAAAAGCCCCAAACTTTCACAAATACCCAACCAAAACCCACAAATCATCAAAAATACTAAATTGTAAAGACAAAATCCATAAGAGAGGAGTAAGGATATCCCTCACTCAAATTCGGAGTTCCCACGGGAGAAGATGACAAACCACAACGTGCTCCAAACTTACGAGATTTTCAGATTAAAAATGTAGCCCTCGACGATCAAACAACTTTTTTGTAAGGCCAAAGGTGAGCAAATCACTCCTACTAGAATCAAAACCTAGAGAGAAGGTAGAGGTCTAAGTGAGAGGCTCAATCAATGTGAATTTTGGAAAAGTCGGAGAGAGAAGAAGAAGTGAAAAAAGTGATTTGAAAAGTCACAAACTTCGAAACTTAAACCCATCTTCCGCCTCGAGCGCAAAACACCCCCGTCGACGTCCACTCAAGACTCCCGCTTGAAGCGGACCAAACGCCCGTTTGAAGCGCGGATGCACTCTCCAGTATCTTCGACAGAACCACGGTCCTCCGCTCGAGCTTCCAACTCCCCGCTCGAGTGGTACTCATACCACCCCGCTCGAGCGGCAATCCACGCTCGAGCGTACAACCTACGACAGGAAATACTGAATGGGTGTATTCCCCCGCTCGATGAGCGCTACCAAACCGCCGCTCGAGCGTACAGCAAAATCTGGGCAACTAGTTTTGGTTTCTAAACTCAACCAACCTGTAACAAACCCGCCCCAACACAATCCTACAACTCAAAACGAAGTAAAAAAGGTGTCAAACAAGATAAAAATCAACTACGCAACATCCATGGAACACCATTCCGGATCACTATACAAAAGGGAAAATCAGGGAATCGCTAAATAATGAAATCTCAACAAGTCCTCTAAATCTTATATTCTCAAAGAATTGAACGAAACTAATGAATATTTGAAACATCTTTTAAGTTGAAATGATATATACAGAAAAGGATTCAGATATGAACAATGCAATTCTTTAATTATAGCATTAAATTTGTTTTACTAGTGATACATTTCAATTGTTATAACGGTCATTTTCTTCCTTACAGGAAACAATCAAAGCTAAACATATTTGTCTTACTAATGATACATTTCCATTATTATTTGGTCATCTTTTCCTTATACGGAGCAATCAAAAGGGTCAACAATCGCGAACAGAGAAAGGACTGTATACAACACAAGATGTGGTTCTAGGCTCAATCCCTGTTAGAGTAGAAAAACTGGCTAACGCTATCCTTGCACTTTAAAGAAATTAAATGGACCAATATAAGTTATATGAACCTTACGGCACATTAATCGGGAATGCACCATTTGTGAATTAGCCTTAAAAATTAATTTTTTGGGTTTCTCATAATCTTGAAAAAAAAAAGTCTGTTAGAGGGGCTAAATTGTATAATTGATCTAATTGTAAATTGATGAGTTACTAATGTTTTTTTAACTCTTATTGTACTAATAATTAATTACTAAAGCTTTTAATTTATTTTTTTGCAGATTGGATTGGGTGGCTGATTTTTTGACAGTGCAACAAATGATCTAAATTTGCTTGAATGTTCATTTTTCTTGATACAGGAATACAACCATACTTTGTGGAAGTTGGCAAACTACGTTATATGTTGGATTTTTGGTAAAAATTGAACCAAGTTATAACAACTTTTGGATATTTTGTGGATATCATATTTTATTATATTAGGTGTGAAATTATTTGTGATCGATCGAATGGATATTTTCAAATTTTGTTAATTTCGGTAAATGTGTTGAAACAGGTTAGGTTAAGTTGTGAATGGAATTGCTTATATTCAATCAGAGTTTCAACATGAACAGGGTTATATTTGTTGAACTAAAATTTAGATTTTTGATAAAATAGGTATATAATTATGGAAAAATATTATGAAATTATTGACAAAAATTTTCCATCCTAAAGAAAGTCTTTTGTCATTATTTCGCTTAGGTGGATGATTAATTTTGTCATGAATTTTTTATTTCGTCACTAAAATACATTTGGGTCGTGAACAAAAAAATATTGTCAATTTTGTCACTATTATCCTCAAGTGTGTGGAAGAATTTTTTTTTTGACATTATTTTATCATTTTTAATGATGAATTTGTTTTGTCTCTATTTGGTAGCTTCTTTGAACAAAAAAGATTTCCGTCTTCGTTTTATATTAACGCTGACAAAATTATTTTGTCTCCATTTCTTATCATTTAATCGAACAAAATATTGTGTCTCTAATTTTCCTTAATGAACAAAAATATTTTGGTCGCTAATTACTTAACATGATGTTCCCCAACAGAGTGTAATTTGAGACAAAAAAATTCGTCACAAATTTATCATTTTTAAAATGATGAAATTTTGTTTTTGTGCTCTATTGGTAATTCTTTGACAAATTTTTTTTGTCTTCATTT